TATATATATATATATATATATATATATATATATATATATAGATGTATTTATAGATGTATGCATTATATATATATATATATGTGTGTGTGTGTATATATATTTATGTATGCGTGTGTGTGTTTGTGTTTTTGTGTGTGCATGCCTGTCATGTCTAAATATATTATCAAGATAAATCAATCAATCAAACTGTTACGAATATTCAAACTTAACGAAACTTAGCAAACAGCCGACAACTCACATACACTAAGCGCATTATACTTAGTCGAGGAAGTTGTTGCTGAAGTATTTGTATAGCATATGTTATTAACGATGATGAAAAATTTCCTTAAATTAATAATCATTAAAAAATGTTATTATGCTTTCTTTTTTTCTTTATTCAGGTTGCCTTGAAACGTTGGTACCGCAACATGCAAACATTTGTTGCCTCCTTCGCTTACTTGGGACGCATACAATATAAGTGGGATCTGGCTAAGGTGATGCATGCGAGCAAAACCTCCCACGAACTTAATGAATTGTTAATTAGTGCTCGTCGTTTGTTATGCGAAATTGAGACAGCGATAAACGGTTCATACCCGCGAAAGAATCAGCAAAAATTAACGATAACGACGCGCGAAACGATGAATAAACGACTTAAGTTTCATACGCGAGAATATGGCGAAATGGGCGTTGTCGTGGAGGCTGATTTGATTGATTTGAAATTTGCTAAAGACGCTTATTATAAATATTTGCTAAATATGTGGAAAATATTAAGACGGCAAACTAAACGTCGTAGTCCGTTAACTATTGATTCTATAGAATCAAATTTATCGTATGTCTCGAACTCCGTCGCCAACGAAGATGAGGATGTCAGCTTTAATATAAGTCTGTTGAGTCCGCCTGGCGAGGATGCCAGTATTAGCGAAAGCCTTGAAGCATTCAGTCAAGCTGACCAAATTAATTAACTCAACGAAAATATCGTGAAAAAAAAGTATTCTCTTACATCGGCTGAGGCGGAACCTCGACGAACCTCATGGACTCATGACAAACAGTATTTTCAAGGAGGTTTTCCGAATCGAAAGCTCTTTTTCTTTTCTTTTTTTTTTTTTTTTTTACTAATTGTACAAACAAACAACTTTATCAACTGTGATCTTGTATTAAGGAACATTTGTTTTACTTTAATTTATATTTTTTTAATTAGTTATTTTAATATTTATTTATTATTAAATTATAAGCATGAAAACCAATCAAATACAAAAACTATTTATTTAATACTATATCGAATAGTTCAGCTTAGTTTTAATTTCTCTTCTCTTTATTCTTCATGTATTCGATGATATAAGATGTGTTGTCGTGTGTGTGTGTGTGTGTGTGTATATATATTGATAAGTACACTTAAATAAAACGTATAGAAATGTAAAAACTTGAAACTAAACTTTAATTATCGTTCATTGCAGTTAGCGGTAAGTTTGTGAGAGAGAGAGAGAAAGCCAACAAATGTAAACGTTCTGCTCATTGCTTATAGTGCAAGCCTAGTACCACTAGTAACCTTTCACATTTCACGTAACTAAAGTCCACTCTTATGCATCGCAAAAACATCACAATTGGCATTGTGCCAACCAGATCTAGATGCAAACGTCAAAGACAAGGATCTGACCTTCGCTCTATCTGTCTTTCGTATGCTCCGTAGCGAACGTAGTGTCATTTTTTGCTCTGCTTATTGCGGTAATTGAGGAAATGTCACCTAACCCAACCAACCTTGCTCTGTCAATCAGACGTAGGGCGGACCGCCAAACCACTAGTACAATTATTATTACGTGAATCCAAATATCGTTTGTAGTAATTTGAAAATTTCGCTTAAATTTTGGAGAAGGAATTGCAACCTTGTAGGAAGTGCAAGAATATCACTCAAATAAGTGTCATTCATTACTTTTCAGCTTAATAGAAAAGCAAAGAAGAAAAGGTTAAATCCAAATTTAACCTCAACAACATGTACTTCAAGAAATGCAAACGATGTGATGGAAGAATCAGGGTATCAGTGCGTAAAATATATCAAATATGCAGATAGTTGCAACCGAAGTTTAGAAGTAAACTAGATTTGTCACAGCGCTCGCAAATACCCGGGGGAAGACAAACACTAAAACCTCTTACGCTTAACGCAGGCAGTCCATGTGATAGGTGTATAATCGACCTATATTCTATGTATAAGGGTTGAGCATAATTTAAGTGAACTGTAGCCGTAAATGAATTTTATGTTTTTCTCTCGACTGGACGAATGAAACGAATAATGATTTCGTTTATGTTGAGAGAAAGCTACACTAAATTATATGTTATTGCGTACAAACACACTCCCCATCTGGCTCGAATCGCATGGCTTTGTTTAATATTTTTTCTTTTTTTTTTATATATTCTCAGCCTGCCGTTGTCTGACTGAAAATTAAGGGCTATTCTGAGTTCTGCTTGTCAACTAAAAATGTTGACAAGTTAACAAAATTGTTTTATTCAAGCAAAATATGAGCTTTGACTTCGTAACGGCGAAACGTGAGGTCTTAGCTTAAAATATCTTCACCTTTTTTTCTCTCACCTAACGGTGTTAGTCTAAAATGAATGAAATGAAGCCATGCGTTCTTCCTTTTCTATGCAATCATTTTACCTTATATCGTACATCTAAGATAATTCAGCATATATACTAACATTAATGGTTGTAGTCTTTGCGGGCCCTCTAGTGGCGAATATTTTTTTTAAGGAAAACGCGCATTACTTTTGAAAAGATGGCGTTAGTGTAGCGTGTTGTGAGATGAAAAGTTAATTCGATTTTTGGAGAGTTTCGTTGCAATCCTATAAAAAGCTTTGTTATGCTTTGATTTTATCTGAGAGATTTTGTAGGAAAATGTAATATTAACTCATGTTAAGTTACATCATGTTATTAATAATCACATCGAAGAGATAAATAGGATGCCCTTAGAAAATGCTGAAAACATGAAATTCAATATCTGAGCGTAAAGTTTACTTTACTGTAAATAACAGCACGTGCAAGGCAAATGTAAAGCAAACATTAAAATTTTAACTTTCTGCTAAACTAACTTCTCTTTTAAGTTTGAAAGTGAAGAGTGTTAAAATCTTTTAAAATTATTTCAATGAATAAATGATTCCTTTCCAAGTTATTTTAAAGTATTTAGAAAATACATATAAGAAAGACTTTTGAATTTGCATTGGAAAATTTGCATAATGTGGCTTAGATCAATATCTAAGCTATCTATGTCATGCATGTTGCTATGAAGTATTTCGATGTTCTGACATGTCAAGTTTCGTCTTCCTATCACAAACATTACATATGGGACCGTAAACGTTTTAACCGAGGCATTAGCATAGTCTTTAATAATTTAATTAGTCTCATGTTAGTTCCAACTAGGCTTTCACTTTATTTTTCCAGCTGTGTTTTAGCCTTATTAGAAGATAGTAGATAATCAGGTGATAGGCTGATTAACACCAGACCTACCGAGTACGTCATTTTGACGCTTTTTAGTTGATTAATAATTGATTTGTTGGGCTTAAGTTAGATCTTATTGGCCTATTTTTCCGGCATTTCCTATACGAAAATTCTGGTGAAAAGTGAAAAGAAATATCAAAAAAAAAAAAAAAATGAAATAGATAATGAATATTATGATGTGATGAATACTATTCGCCATGTGCATCTCATGGTCCATTTTTTGTCTCTTCTTAAGTAAGGGTTTTTATGCGACAAAAAGTTCTCATTGCATTATGATAGGCGGCGCGGTATTTCAGAGATGGCCGCTCTAACTATTTTGTAGGATAGGGTATAGAATAGAGTAGTGTACGGGATTTAATAATTGACTTTACCTGAATATAACTTTTTTAACTTACTTTCCAATAAATCTCCAATTACTTTTTTCGTGCCGCAGCTCAATTTTTCCCAATTTTTCCATTTTCAGCAAAAGGGAAAATCACAGATAGGGGAACAATTGAACAATTTCGCGCTCAGTCATCAACGATGCTCATGTATGTGTATCCTTCTGTATGTTGCAATAGACGGAATAGACGGAACGATATAATTAGCATATATTTCTGCTCACTGCTTAGGTATGCCGGGCATATTATGTCTTAATATTTTTTATAAAAATTTTTTCAAACTTATTAACACTCCTGTCTGCTTGAGGAATTTATGCCACAGCGTTCACGGCATATGTCTATAGACTTTTCACAATTCATTCAATTTATGTGGTTTTCTTTGCGAAAACTTTTGAAATATTTCGTCTGTTTGTGACGGATAAATCGATTTAATTAAAACTGTAAAGCACAAACAACAAATTCAGTCAAACAAAATTATAGATTATTTCTAATGAATGAATGCTTGATATCCATTGTCTCAATGAAAAACTTTTTTATTCATTAACAAAACGATTTTTCACAAAATTAGTTCATTCGCCTCAAATTAATTCGTATTAATTTAGTTCGGGGGAATACTATTATTATTCAGCGACTATTGTCAAGTAGTTTTGAAAATTGGAAATATTTCCTATTTAATACCTAAATGCATATTGTTGCCAATTGTCTATATTTCAATTGCACTTCATTTTAAAATAATAATTTTATATATTACTACTGTTTACTTACCTATTATTATCATAATAACAAAATTAACTCGATCTGGAATGTAGACAATTGACAACAACATGCATTCGTAAAAGATAAATCATTATATGGCTTGTTATTGTACGAACGGTCTGGTTGAATTCCATTCGACATTTTTCATATGGTTTCAACGAACTGAGTCCAAAGACGTCAGTGTATGAAATTTCGCCAAAATTATATCCTAAAAATTGCCTTCAAAATCTAGATTGAGCACAAAAATACAAGACGGACTGACAACCTTAGAAAGAATCAGGAAATCATTCCGAATTGATCGGTGGGATTGATAATCTTACACTTTGCCCTGGTGCGGTACCCGACTAGCCTGACTCCAATTTAGTGCATCAATCCTCATGCAGCGTTTGTTCTCCATTCCGTTCCTGCATGGTCTCCTCCTGAAGGATAACCACTGGCACAATTTGCTGTCGCCTGTAAACGACAGGATAGGCTTTCTCTGTTATGCAAATTAGATCGTTAATGAAAACCAGGAATACCAGGCTTAGGCCTTCATTTAATCTTAAAGCAAGAATCCGAGAGTCTTACTTATAGCTGTGAGAGTGCAATCTTTTTACCTACAAAGCTTGGATTTTTTCATATTTCTCTTCGCTCGGCAAAATCAATGATAATATATTGCTACGGAAATCCCAAATCCAGTTCATTCCAGCTAAGTAATTTTCCCAAAATAATAAATTCCCGAAAGAGGGAAAAAGCAAATGCATATTCGCGGCGCGTCAAGCAGCTGCCGGCCGATGAAAACGATTAGCGGAAACGGGGACAGTGCTTAAAAGTGAAGCCATGAATTTGGGTATAGTAATATGCTTGAATATTTGTGGAAGGCAGAGTTAGTAGAAAAGAATATTTGAGGTGAGCACTCGAAAGCACTGCCAAAAGTACATTGTGAATAATCCTACATTTAAGGAACTTTGAAGTGTATTTCTCTTGCACAGAATAACAACGATCCAGTGATCCGGGACTGTGTCCTAGAAAAGCGAATTTCATAACAATATGTAATCGGAGACGTGTTTGCTAAACTTTTCCTAGTATTTCACTCAGCAAAAGCTATCATTATTTTTATTATTACTATTACTATTATTATTATTATTATTATTATTATTATTATTATTATTATATAATTTAAAATAAATATTAAGGAAAATAAATATCTTGCTGTAAACAGGTAGTAACTGTTAATATATGTTACGAGTTTAATGTTGTCATCTGTTAACATCTGTTAATTTTCTTAACATATCCTAGCAGTTTATTCTTCTCTCTGAAAGAGAGATACTATTGGTATTAGATAGACGAATTATATAAGGCTATCCACCCAATCTTTTTAACTGGACATTAACTAACTGAAAATCAATTCCATATATAAAAAATTGGCCGTAGGTCGTAACTTTTGCTTACACGTTTGGTCACAAAAACTCAACGCGACAGAGATTACTTTGTTCATGGTT